TCAGCCAACGAAAAAGTATCTCGCCATCGCCGCTGAACTAAATGTCTGATCGACTTTCAATACGTCTACAATAAATCAATCAATCACATCATCAATCTTCATCATCACTCAAGATTTGTGACCCATTTAAAAGAAAAGAAAATATCGTTAAATTAAAACTAATCAATATAACAATCTTGTTAACCCTTTTTTCTTTTTTTAAAAAGCCAACAAAGCTTAGCGAACTAATTAGTGTATCTACATATCTATTTTGAAATATATATACATACGATGTATGTTTGTGGTTGAAACCATTTGATGCGCTTTACAATATCACAACTTGGTTACAATGTTAGTAGGCTTGCGCATCGCTGCACCATTAACCCAATTTTCGTTGAGTTCCAAAGAAAAAACTAATTTCACTGAATATATTTTAATTATAAAAGCAGAGTCTAGGTAGTGTACCTGCGGCGCACTTAACTGCTTTTAGGGGCACAGAACGGTATTTTCTAACAAGCAGCACCGCTTGAGGCTTGACAGTCGCTCCATGTGACTACTGTAGTTAACAAATTAGTAAGTGAATGAAGCTGCTAAATGGTCATCATGTTAAGGTGTTTAAAACTAAAGAGGAATTATATTATTGTCTTAATTTTGTGAATAGGTTTTGGCTACATGTCGTTCTTGTGCTCTCCAATGTTGTGTGTGTGTGTGTGTGTGTGTGTGAGCGGTGTGAAGTGCGTATCAAAAGACTTAAGCAGCGAACTCGACTATATTATTTGACGAAGTAAAAGCCAATAATATAAATATGTATGTACGTACATATGTATCATGTGAATTACTTTATACTAAATAGGTGTAAAAATTAGCACTTTTTACTAGTGGTCTTAGTTCTGATGTGCCTGTAAGCTTGCTGTAGCTATGCTATGAGGGTAATACTAGGTTCACATATAAGAAGATTATCCTCATTTTCGAGCTTAACTTCCTAATCTGTAATTAGAAAAAGAGATTAGCCATTTACAATTCTTCCCTTGTTAATCTGTAATTATAAAATAATCTCAGATTTAACCGATAACATTTCGGTGTCCATCCTCGTTTTATCGATTGTTTTTGCGAAGAAGGGGAGAAATGGCAAATGTAAAAGTAAACAAAAATGGACGCTAGCAAGGAAAAGAGGGTTTTAAAGGTATTTTTTAATAAAATGTTATGTTAAAATATATCTATATTGCTTAAGATAGCAGAAAAACGTAATCACGGTGGCACAGAGAAGAAACATAACTTTTCCTTGAGATGTGAGAATAACAAGCACAACAAATTTGACGGCTAATAATCTGAGATTTGCCTGTGTAAACGGGGTGATTAAAAAACGAGCTTTGATTGAGGTAATATTGATATGTGAACATAGTTTAAAAAAGTCGATGTTGCTGAAAATATCGATAAGGGAATTGATCAAGAAATCGATAACTTTATTTGGAGCTATAACAAAATAAATTAACTGCAATTAAAAAATAGTAGTATACCGATAACGATGACTAAAATGCTATTGATAACAAGAATGAAAATTTTATCGATAAACGCAACGATGTTGACACCGATAGCAATAGCGATAGCGATAGCGATAGCGATAGCGATAACGATAATAATAAGTACGATATCAATAAGAATACAAAAAATTAATCGATAAATATTTTTTCGTTATTTACAGCGTGATTCAATATTTTCTTTCTTTTCTGCGAAAATTATCAGTAAAAATTATTTCATATGTATTCAAGCCACGTACATATGTAAGTGCTAAGCACGCATTCATACATTCTTTATAATAAACAAAAAAAAAAATCATGAAAACCCGTTTCAATTTGCTCAAATGTTATTATGCTCAAATAAATATAAAAAAGCTATGAAAACCACACTGCTGCGATGAGTTCCACCCCCAACTTAATTAAAAAAAATTTATTTATTTCATTTTGAATATTTTTGTTTATAAAAGTGAAATACATCCGCATTTGTATATTCCATTGCCCATCCATTTCGTGTATGTTTTTTATCTTATTCATCACATCACTCATTTTGACATCAAACACCAAACATCACCAACAACCCAACAAATCCATCAATATTCACTGGCTTTTTGCGCACCATACCAACAACCACCACATCAAATGATGTAACGCTTAATAAAACAATTCGTGTCAATTGAAAATAATTAAAAAAAAAAAACAACGCTTCATTTGTTAAATAAATACACATCAAATTATTTAAACGGAAATTCTTTAAAATTTTCAATTTAAAAATTATGTTACTAAAAATCGCAATTAATTGGCCAACTTGACTTGAAACAAATAAAAATTAATTCAAAAACTAAAAATTTTTCATTGTTACAAAAAAAAAAACGAATAATTTTTAAAATATTCAAAACTATTGTTACTACGAAAACCAAAATGCAAATCCTAAACTTAAAAAAATATTTAATTTCATTTGTATAAACACTCATGCTTGCACTTTTATAAAAACAATCATCAATCAAACCATCATCATCATCACCACCACCACCATCACACAATCATCAATAAAATTGTGCATAAATATTTATATGTGTTTGTGTGTTTGTTTATATTTTCATATTTTGGGTACCACCAACCAACTCCTGGCAAAATGCTTTTGGTTCAATGGTCGCGCGCGTCTGCACAACACAAAACTAAAAATTGCAAAAATAAAAAATTACAAAAAAAAAAATTAAATAAACTGGAAATAAAATAAAATGGTGTTTGCTTCATTGCCTTTGTTGGATTTTTGTTTTTTTTTGTATTTAACGGTGTTTGCAAAAAAAAAAATAAAATAATTCTGTATAAAAAATAACCGCGCATGCATTGTTGTATTATAAATAATTATTCGAAAAAAAAATCAAAATTTAAATTTCAAACGCAACGCACAGATCGTGTTGCCTTGGTCACCGCTGCACCACCGAGCTACACACGTATGTATCACTATTTTCCAGCACATTTATCAGCGCACCCGTTTTGTTTTTACCCACAACCCCCACCACCACCGCCACCACCAATTCCACCGCCAACGTTGACACAATTGCCTTCACCACCGACACTCAAACAATTGGGCAATTCCCTATCGTCAATGACACAAGCACACATCGCACAGACACTCCGGTATCCAGGTAAGGTTTGTATTGGATTTTGTTTTTTATTACATCCAATATTATACAACTTTATACAAGTAATGTATATGAGCCGTTTACTTTCAAAAGAGCATAAGTCATTTCCGCCTCTTGTGCTTAAACGGTTTGTTACTTCTAACTGAATGCATCTGTTAATTATTCTACCGCCATAGACTAATGAAAAATTGTGGTACATTTGCATAATGAAGTTTAGCAGATAAAAGACGGGTTTAGATACAAGTAAATAGTTACAGAAGTCAAGCGGTGTGAAATAACTTATGTCAATCTCAAAATAAACGGCTCATATATGTATATGTACGTATGTCGAACATATGCATTGGGATAAATGTAATTGGAGCAAAAAACTAAAAAAAAAAAATTATTATAATGATCTTCGACCTTAAACGTTTTGATACTCGTAGTGGTGAAGGTGTTATACATACATACATATATGTACATATATTTTTTCCACTACTACTTTAAAAACGTCCATTTTTATAAACCTTTTGCTGTTCAAGGGGAATCCAAAGCCTTCATAAATTTATTTTTTCTTTATTCGTTTTATTTATTTCATCAATTAGTTGAACACATGTAGATTATTAGAACTACATTAGCAATTGTTATTAGTAGTGTAGTAGTAGTAGTAGAAGCTATGAAGTAGTGCAGTTAATTTATTCGTAAAACTGTCCTACTTTCCGAGACAAAGTCCAATTGACGACTACCTATTTCATTCGAGTGCCTAAAAGCATAGACAGACGGCAACGTTGGTCCGGATAACCACCGCAATTGATCTGATCAAAACTGTGCCTTGACAGATGGCAATAATGCGGATTTACGAGACGCGAGGTCGTAGGTTCGAATCCCATGGCCAGTAGAATATTCATTTCATTTTTTTTATTCATTCACTTATAACTTCTATATATTTTTTAAGTTGTTTTTAATTAGTTTTTTTGACTTTAGTAAAAATAAACTCTAAAAATTTAATTTAACTATTAATAAAAAAAAACACGAAATAAAATAAAACAAACGAAAATAAAATAAATATAATTAAATATATATAAAAAAAAAATAAAGTAGCAATAAAAGCAGAATTTGTTTCGCAATCGTTCCAACCGAGGATCAAACCTGGGACCTGCAGGACCTGTAGTACGCAGCCATCACCACTCGGCTACCGCGGATGAAGTAGTTCGCTGCTTTGTTTGCGTATTTGTTTGCTCAGGGAGAGTATAACACAAATAAAGAACAAAATTACTTAGCGTGGACATTCGCAATGTCCGTTGGTCGTACAATAAGGAATATGAAATGTACAAGATGACCTTAAGTCACGCGTGGAACAATTAAAAATAATTAACTCCCGCAGAAATTGGCAGTTAATATGGTCTGTCACTAAAAATATTATGGAATAAAATTTCCTACGTGTTTCTAATGTTAGCAGCCGGAATAAGATGCATCTACTTCTATACTCAGGTATGTTACCATTCCAATTAAGGCAGTGAATGGCATACCTGGTGAATCGTTTCTGAAATTGTTCGATTTTTAAGGAACATCCGGTAGAGTGAGGATCCCAGAATATACCATAGTACTCAAGGTTGGATCAAATAAAGCAGAGGTATAGATTTTTAAGTGCAAATAGATCACAAAATTCTTTGGAATTTCTTACTACAAATCCAAGCAACGACCTAGATTTGACAATTATAAAGTCAATGTGCTTGGAAAACCACATCTTGTTGTTGAATTTAAATCCCGTGAATTCCTGACAGATCAGAATTACCAATCGTGTTCATATGCCTGGTATTAGTTTCACATCAAGTCTCTAACTTTGGTAATACCTCCTGAAATTTAACGCAGTCTATATAACACCTGAATTTGTGTTGTTTATGTGAACGAACTGAATTCTATCGGCCAGATAAGGGCTAAACTATTTGAGAAAGTTCAATTGATCTAGTTTGTCGAGTCATAGTCAAGTATTTTTGAACATCAGACTTGGTGTCCGACTTAACAGTGGTATATTTTCCATTCTTGTAAAAAATTTGTTGTTAAAAATTCTTGAAAGTTGAAGGGAAGGCGCCGATGCACAGTTCATCAACAACAGGGTTATTAGGTAATGGCCGAAGAGCTTGATAAACCTGCTCAGCGGAAAATTTTGGGCTTGTGATGCCCACCATAGCATCTGTCTTTGCATTGCTTAATGTTGTGACTGGCAAAATTTTGCGATTAAACTACGTATTTGTTGATCGTCAGAAGCAAATTCGCCTGAGTATTGCACTATATTGGAAATTCCTTTTGTTCTTTATAAATTGCCAGAAACGTTTACGATCTAACTTTATTTCTTTCCCAAACCTAAAAAGGTAATTCTGATATAAAAAAACTTTTTTAAAACATCGAACTAATTTTTAACAGACAATAGGATTCATAAAGGCCCTGGCCATCATTTGGCTTTCGGTACTGTTTATATTTGCTTTTAAAAATATTCTTTTTTAAATGCTTAAAAACGTAAAAATAAAAATCGCCAGCTAAATATGGTCCTCCCTCTTACTCTGCTACCTCCAGGTGGCTCCGAGTTGAATATTTTCAGAGCTGGAGCGTCGGTGTCCATTCGAACGACATGACCAAGCCAGCGGAGCCGCTGTATTTTAATTCGCTGCACTATGGCCATGTCGTTGTAAAGCTCATACAGCTCATCGTTCCACCGTCTGCGGTACTCGCCGTCGCCAACGCTTAAAGGCCCGTAAATCTTCTGCAAAATCTTTCTCTCAAACACTCCAAGAGCCGCCATGTCCATTGTCCATGCTTCTGCGCCATATACCAGCACAGGCATGATGAGTGACTTATAGAGTGTGTTTCTCGTACGCCGAGAGAGGAGTTTACTCCTGAATTGCCTACTCAGTCCAAAGTAGCACTTGTTGGCAAGAGTGATTCTGCGTTGGATTTCCATGCTGATATTATTATCGATGTTAAATCTGGTTCCCAAGTAAACGAAATTTTCTACTCTCACGAAATTGTAACTGTCAACAGTGACGTGGGTGCCAAGGCGCGAATGTGCTGACTGTTTGTTTAATGACAGGAGATACTTCGTCTTGTCCTCGTTTACCACCAGACCCATTCGTTTTGTTTCCATATCCAACTTGGAAAAGTCAGAACAGACTTCGCGGTTTTTGTTAATGTCCAGCCCGGAAACAAGACTAGAAGCTTGGATACTGATAGTTTCTATTAGAAAGTATCTCTGACACATATGTATGCCACCCAACTTCGGCACATCCGTTAATAGGTTAATAGGCTAACCAGGTTTTTACGTCCAATGCTACCTCTCTTTCATGTATATAGATTAGGGTGGTCTTTAAATGTAAGGAAGCAAATTTTTACATCAGAATTCCTAAGCCTCAAGCCCTACGGGGATGCTAATATAGTCGAAGATATCACATATATATTTTGGCCCCGATTGGATTACGCTATGAATACGTCTTTACCGACTCAAATTGGGACAAAAATTTATACGTGATTTCTTCGACTTTAGTAGTATCGATTTTGGGTATAGAATGAAAAAAATATATTTAATTTTTTGAGTCTCCATAGAGGACACATAGATCCTAGCATAGCCGGTGAACTTCGTCCCGCCCAAAATTATTATTTTTATTGACAACTTTTAGGCTAGCATTTTCGCCAACAATTCACGTTCATGATTTCCAGGGACACATTTTTCTGTTAATATTATAGTCTGATGGTCGTAAGAAGGCATATTTCCATTGCCGTCTCAATTAACCTAATGATAGTATTATATCCATTAAGAAGTTCTTGAAATTCTCCAATGATCTGGCGTTTCATAGCACAGTTAATTGCATAACGAAATAAATGTGATAATTTTTTCCTCTTCACTCCCTGGTAACACTGATCCGGTTCGATGGGGAATCTGTTCTGGAAGCCGTCTAGTATAGTTGGTGGTAATTTAAGAATGGGTGGGTCTCGTTTTTATACAGAAATCCAATATACATGATTTATTTTAGACGAAAGTCTCAATGGTGGTCATTTGAGATTAACTTATATAGTTTTTTAAATCAAAAGCAAAACAAAAAATCCGTGAATAGTTACATCTTTTCTGACTTTTTCGGTTTTGAAGTGTTTAGAGGTGCCTATTACCAGTTTTTTTCTTCACCTATCTTGAACAATATTAACAGCCTAAATATTCCACAACTTTTTCTTGAGCTAACTAATACACAACCCTGTTGATACTTAAGAGTTAGCTTACTCAGAATTAGCTTAACTTTTTTGTGACTTCATTGGTAATGGTTTCCTCCTAATCAAAGCACTAAGCTTTTTCTTAAATTTCCTGTACTTTTTCACCATAGAATCTTATTAATGCCGTTGTTTTTTTTTGTGTATTTTTCATTCAACAGGTCTATTTATACGACCCGATGAGACCAATCTTTACACGACGCTGGAACCAACACTGAGCAGTAATCCGAACGTGTACTTTCAGCGAGGCGGTGCAGTACATCCGGGTATGATGTACTAAGAATACACTTTCCGACCGTAAAGGAAAATCACAAAAATCTAACGATTAAACTATGCGCGAAAGAAGATCAGTTAGCTGGCGGAGTATATTCATTCGTACCAGCAACCGCTCGACAGCCGAGCACTGAGCAACTCAAAGTATAAAAGTATAACTTAAATGCAATACGAAACGCTAAAGTAAGTTGAAAACTCATAAAGTAATTTTATTATTATTATTATTTTTATCGAAATAATTTTAATTTAATATTAAGAAGTAAAATATTAAATGTACATATGTACTTAAATATACATAAGTACATACATATGTAACGAAGGCACTCGTTTGATAGAGGAAGTACTCCACAGTGCACATCTGCTCCCAGGGAGTGTAAGCGATAAGCAAAACTTTAATTTTAAATGTCAATCATAGCTTAAATATTTACATTTTTATATGTATGTTTATGTAAATGAAGTTAAGCTTAAGCGAAAATAAATCGAAATTTGAGAAGGAATTTTAAAAACTTAGTTTTAGTGCTAAAGAAGGAAGTGAAAAGTTACAAAAACAAAAAAAAAATGCTCGCCCAAAGCTGAAGACTTGAATTTTATTTTTATTTTTCTATGTAAGCACAGACATACTTGTTTTACTTATAAACTTAAGATACACAACACTCATAGCGAATTAGGGGCAATTAAAGTTATTTAGGCACATATAAATGCAGTAGTTGTAAGTATGTATTTAAGTCAAGGAAGTTAATATATATGTATGTATATGTTATATGTATGTACATACATATGTAGCAAAAAAAAATGGCTAAGAGCAGTAAGAAATTAAGTTAAGCTCATTTAATGTTCCATAATTTTCACGCGATTATTAGCGCGCTGCCCAATTAGTGATGGCCGATTAACAGCGAGTACATACATAAATGCGAGTAGCATAGCGAGTGAAACGGAAAGTGGCAGCGCTGCAGCGCAGCGCGATGCGTAAACGAGCAACGAAAGCCAATGGGGAGTTCGACTGTTCAGGCATTGAGGAGTTTACTTGGCGGCGTGGCATAAACCACAGAGCGGCACAGTGAAAGCGCTTAATTGCGTAAGCTGATGGGCAATGTGAAGGCAAGCAAAATTTAACGATGGAGAAGCAAAAAAAAAAAAATGAAACAAACAATTGGAAAAAAAAAATTCGTAGCGTATCGAATAGCATTTGCTAAATTACTTTCCGTTTTTATTTCGATTGGCAATTTCTCTGCGCTGTATCAGCCTTGGCAATAATTCGCGCTAGTTGCTTTCCTCACGCTCCATGCCGGCGCTTAACTTCGAACGTGAAGTGCCACCAAAAATGCAATGCGCGTACAACGTTTATATGTGGCGCGAAGAGAGGTGCGAAAGTAAATAATAAGAAAGAGGTATGAAGAGAAGACAATGAAAAATCGTAATTTTTTGCACTTTATTAAATTCATTCACACCTCAAGCGAGTAGAAAAGCGTAATTGTTAAATTTTTATATCGATTATTTAGACTAGGCTTTACTTACACACCTTTATATGTATGTATATGTACATATGTGCACACAGTAAGTAACTACTACTTGTAAATAACTATTAACAACAAAACAAAATATGAAATAATAATAATAATGATTACGTGAAATTTTAGTTTAATTGCATAACAGTAAATATGTAGCTGTATATGTATTTCAATAAGCGCTTCCATATTCGTATGTGTAAACTATGTATTTGTATGCATCAAATGTAAGCATATGAATTCAATAAAGTTGTTTAGTTGTATATGTAAGAATTCAGCAATTTTTTTTTTATGACTTTTTTATAGAAACTGTAATTTTGTGCGAAAAAAAATGAAATATTAAAATAAAATATCGAAATGCAATAAGAAAAATTTCGAAGTTTTTTAAAGGGCATTAAATACGGTGAGTTTTGTTAAGAAATTTAGGAAACATTACAATTACTAAGTACTTATGTATGCATACAGAAAACCTATGAAGGGCCTGTGGAGTTTAGTCAAAGAAGGATGCGTTTGGCTATTGCAAAGCCAGATCTAAATGGCCACAAAAGGAAGATCATCATTTCATTGTTGCTAGGGGGAAGCTTACGCGCTCAAAGAGGATTTAACCTGGCGGCCATTGTACTTTTACCAAGTAAAAAACTATTGAGGATATGATGAACCTAGGCTTGGATGGGGTCGCAGTCAATGTCGTCACAGAGGTTAAGTATCTGGGTCTTATCCTGGGCTCAAAACTCCTGTGGAGCACTTACGTTGAGGCGGCCACTTCCAACGCTACGAGAGCGCTGATGGGGTGCAGGTGTCTAGCGGGGAAGATCCTAGGGTGCACCCCGAGGATTCTAAGGTATCTACCATGATTGTATGACCAACAGAAATGTATGGGCCAGTATCTTTGCTATCCAGGACTACTTTGGCTACGGCAAGGCAGTCCCTTACCAATGTGATTGCATCACGAAGCCTAAACGTACATGTCCGACGGTAGCGCTGAAATAATCCTTGAAGGAGCACCTGCATATTACAATTGAACAGGCGACACAAGAACTCTCTTAAACTTTTCGAGAGAGGGTTTTGGCAAAGGTAAGGTATTATCATCCAGGAACAGGGACAAGCTAGGCTCCCAGCTGTCAATATTGCTGTTCCCTAGATATGATATGCACAGTGTAGTGGTCTTCGAAAGATACCTCAAAGTCAATACCAATAGCAAGGCTCTTAGACCTCTGGAGCAGGCGTATATGGCCCTAGACCAATGTCAGGCATCTACGTGGTACCTTGCGAGGCTAAATGCGCTGAGTCTCCTATGCATGCGTTTGTATTTTGCCTGGCACTGCCCTAGGCTAAAACTTTCCGTTCCTTTGGAGATCTTCCCAATCATCTTCCAAGCGGAAGTTTATGTTATCAGTCAGTGCGCAGAGATTAACCTTCGTAGGAATTGTAGACGGTAGCGGATACTTACACTAAGTGATAGTTAGGTCACGAGTATGGCCTCTTCATCCTTCGAGGCCAAATCCTCTTTGGCTAATATGGCTACCAGGGCACATGAGTGTTGAAGGAAATGAAGAAGCTGATGACATATCCAGGTTGGCTGTTGTTTCGACCCCGATAGGACCGGAGCCCTTTTTTGCGGTCGGTCGCAGTATGATAAAGGAGGCGCTCTGGAAGGAAGACAATAAACTGAGGAAACTGCATTGGCGAAACATTACGGGACTTCGTTTAGCTAAGAGCTTATTACGGGTACAATCTAAGGGAAAAGAGGCTACTTATAAACCTCCCCAAGGCTAAGAATTATAATGGGCATTTTTACGGGTCATTGAAGGCTTAGAGGTCAGTTGTTTAACGTGGAGATCTGGTCAAGCGACTTATCTCGCTTCTGCGACTCCGCCAAAGAGACACCATTGCACCTCCTCTTGGAGTGCGAGCACATACACCAAGGGTTCTGTCGAATGAATTAAGTCATTTGAGTCTTTTATATTTAGCAACAAAACATGTACAGACGGGAGCGAAACGACGAGCAAGAGACAACCCAGCAAACATTTGGAATCATAACTGAGTCTTTGGGGAGTCCTGAGCTCATTTAAGAGTCCGAAATGAAGGTGTTTCCATTCCGCCGAAGGTCGGCTTATATGAGCTTAAATTCGTACATCACGTGAGCCCCAATACGAGTCATATTGGACTCTTATTGGCCTCATATACGGAACATTTTGAACTCATATGTCAATAATTTCAGACTCTTTTTGAGGCTCTTATATGACTTTTGTAGGCTTCATACACACACATCTTTTGTTTTTGAAACTCATATTTCTTTTCCCTTCTCCTTTCGGACTCATATAGATATGTACACATTATGACTTGTTTATGGACGTCGCATTGGTTGCAAATTAAGACTGCTGATATAAAGAGGTGCAATTATATCATGGCATAGAAGTAAGGTTTCAGTTGACGCTTAATTTTTCTTTCTGAATTCAACTGATTTGACTGAATTACATATATACATTAGGGTGGCTCTTAAATAGTCGAAGATAAATTTTGGCCCCGCTGGAGACGGTAAACGCATGTCGCACAGGGGGCAAAGTTTAGATTCCTTTATGGAAACTCAAACACTTAAAATTAATATTTTTTATCTATTTAATACCCAAAATCGATACTACCATAGCCGATGATACCACATATATATTTTGGTCCGATTGAAGTCGGTTAAAGCGTGTCGCACTGGGGTCAAACTTCAGATTGCGTTATGAAGACGTATTAAACGACTAGTATTTATTATAGATTTTGGGTATTAAATGAAAAAAATATATATATATATATATTTATAATTTTTTGAGTCCATAGAGACATCTGACCTTTGATTCCTTAGCGCCACGCCTTAACAGACTCCAATCGAGACCAATATGAGATTGAGAGGGTGAGACTGAAAAAAATTATTTAATTTGATTTTAAGGGCCACCCTATTGTAGATACCTGTGTATGTATGTAGTACATAATGTATGAAGTCTGGAAGTAGTCCTAGGTAAATAAAATTCCTCCTTACGCTCTCTATACTCTTAGTCTCGTATGCTTTTTGACCACATGATACTAAGTTTCCTAAAGACCCAACCTAATAAGAGGCTTGAGGAAAAAATATTTTTAAAAGCTTTTTTTTTAGAGAAAGACTTTAAAATTTCACAAGAACGATGTGCTTGAGTCACTTAGTGGTACATAGCTCGAATGTTTTGATTGTCCTTCATAATGTCAGCGGCCTCATTCCCTTCTGAGATGTTAGAAGATTACAAAACGCATGCAAGTTGATATTTTTGGCCATTTTCGCTGCTAGGTTAGGTTAATGTGGCAGGCAGTCCACTACACCAACTCACTTAGACCCTAAAAATCCGGTGTAATACCACTGAAACCTCATTGAGTATATTTCATGTAACCATTTTGAAGTTCTTATGAAACGTAAGGGAACGGGTATCCCAATTTTAACTCTGTTATCAATCAGTCAAAGGTTGCTACCTTTCCTGGATTACTGATCGGCCTTGCAATTCCCTGCAATATCTCTATGTCTCGGTTCCATATGAGGCTGACCTTGAAAAAGGTGTTAATGTCGTTTATGGCTATCTGGCATTCGATGCTTCTTAAGCGATAATAGAGTTTAAGGAAAGAACAAACATGAAGTAAGTATGACACAAATTTACTTGTACGTAAGTATGTATATAGGTAGCTTCCTGCAAATTATTTGTATGCCTTCCTTACAAGTACTTTCTAATAGCTTTTTCGCGCTCGAGCGGTTTTCGAACACAAAATTAGCAGTAAAATTTAGGAATTTAAATATTTCTTTCTTTTCTGATTGTTTGAGGACTTAAAAAATTACTTTTCTTTAAGAAATGCACTGCTAATTGGTGAGGAGCTTAACTAATGGAAACTAGTTTGCTTTAGGATAGTTATGAACTTATTAGAAAGCTTGGAATATTGTACGCTGCTTGCAAGGATGGCTCAATCATTTTCGATTATTTGCTAGGAATTTTAGCATTATATTTGGCATCATTTAAAATTGAACGACAAATTTTAAAATGGCAATACTAAAAAAAACAATTAGTCAAGAAATACCCATAATTTATGACATGACTACATTCTTAAACTATTATTTGTAATTTTTCAAGCTTATCGAATTACTTTATCATTTCTTGAATTCCGGATTCCTCACTAATGCGATTGACTTTAAACCGCGAATCTTACTGAGCATAAGTTTTTTAATTCTTGTCCTTTTTTTCTAAGGAAAACATAAATGTAAATGAATATTATATATTATTTTATATGCATGTAAAAAATTGTGAACCAAAAATGAAAATTCAGCCAGAAGTTTGTCAACATATTTCTACAAAATCCAAGTAAAGTGAAAAGTTATAATACATCGCCAAAGGTCCCTCTAAAAACATGACTTAAAAAAATCTCTAATGATTTAAGAAAAGAAAATAAGCGAAAATCAAAATAATTCCGACAGAGTCCGAGGAATTCCGAAAAAATCCAAAGTTCCTGAAAATTCTGTAATACCCCAAGGAAATACCAAAAATTTACAAAAAATACAAATTCCCAAATAAAAAACACGAGAAGTTAGGAAAAATTACGAAAAAAATCAAAATTATGCC